GTTATATATATATATATATATATATATATATATATAGTGTTGCCGGTAAGGAACGATCGCTATCAACCGTATTCTTCCATCGGTACATGAGAATACGCACGCATGAATGGCCATGGGATGTGGACATGCATGCGATAGTGGCATTTCGGTGATTATGTGGAACGACAGGACCATTTGTCTGATGGGCAGGACTGCGTCATGCGCGTGCCCGTCGCCTGTCGCCAGCCGCTGCTGCCGTCGCTCTGACACAGATGGGGAGCAGCGTGGCTTTTGAGAGGCGGAGGAGAGCACGAGGGCTTACAACGGCGAGACGACGTGGGTGGTGGTCCACCGCTCGGCGACACGACAGGCTGAGCTCCGCAGCGAGATTCCCGGCCAAGACCGCTGCGTCGCCGAGAGCGATAACGTAGACGATATCCGCTCGTATCTCCACTGTCCAATCGACGGAACGACGCCGTACGAAGTAGGCAGTCTCGGCTCTCCTCCGCCATCTCTTTTTATTCTTTCTTTTCCTTCTATTTTTCCCGCTTCTTTTGAATCCGGATCATAGCTGCGATGGGACGCCGCTAACCGTCCGATTTGCGGCCGCGTGTCAGAGCGGCGGCGGCGGTGGCGGTGAGCGATGCAAAGGAGGACTCGACGACAAGCCGGCCACAACCCCTGGCACGGATCGCACAGCCGACGCAGCAGCATCACGTCGTAGGGCAAATCGCGGCCGTTAATGGCCGCTGATGGGACGTCTCAACAGCGCGACAGCCGGTGCAAAGATCGGTTCTTGGAACCGCCCTGCTCTGCATGAGGTGGCGACCACAGTACGGTTTCATGCGGGAAGAGCAGCGTGTGGCACCGGTGCCCTCCTTCCCCTCCATCCGCTGCTGCTCTTGCCCTCAGAAGCAACGGAAGTGCTCTGCTCTTAAACAGCCATAAATCGACGTCGAGAAAGACGAAGCACATTTAGTTCTTCTACACACGCATCAGCTTCAGGCGACCGTAAACTCTGCTTGTGATTGCACTATTGGTAAATTCATGGACAGAAAAGTCAAGTCCAATCAACAGTGTTAAGAGATCGTACGTTCGGTCAGTGAATCAGCGACATGTCAATCTGCATTCAACTGCGAAAGATGAAACATACAGATCACACTACAGTAGTTACGCGCGGTAGTCTTTAGTAAACCATGGTTCAACAAAAAGGGAAGATCTTTCGAGTTCCATCAAGCACTAGATGATTTAGAAGACTGGGATTGCTCAGAGCATTCAAACAAAAGACCAGTTCACAAACATGAAAGCCAGGCAATGGGGTGAATCCTCTTCGTTCAGGACTTTCCATGTGACAGCTTGTTCATACGACACCGGCCTTCCCATGCTCGACAGGCAGATACCAGCAGGAAGATAAGAGAAGCCCTGCAGGTTTGTAGACAAACATATGGGTTTCAAGAGGTTCAGATAGGTTCTACACGTATAGGTAAACAAGCAAAATGTAAGCTTTTACTCGCTTGCTCACCTGCTGCATGATCTTGGGGAACTCCGAGCAAAGCACTTTGCGGCCATTGTCATCAAGAATTTTTTCCAGTGTGAGGTCCTGAAGAGCTATCAGAGTGGTTTCAAGCATATCTAGACCAGCTTGGTTGGAGAAGGTGAAGACAGGTGAAGCCTGTGAAGAACAAAAACGCCATTTCGGTCAGCTAAGTATTCACCGCATCGGTGTCGGAGAGATTGTCAATCATTGCACAAGTCAAGAACGTATACAAATATGTTGTATCACTTGCCTTCAAAGAACAACACATGACAGCATCTGGGTGGTGCCAAAGCAGTTTCAGCAATGAATCATTAGCTTGTAAGTCTACCTGAAAGAGCTCAACTCCAGAATGAGCCCTGAAAGCATCGAAGACGATACATTAGAAAGATGCAAACTTATATTACACACTTGCGTGAATAGGTTTTTTGTCATGATGATCGATAATGTTACTTCAGACTGTAGGTATGTTGCTCATGCACAAATCACATCAAATTTGATGTCGTATTTATGTGATTAAGGTAGCTTTAAAGTGTGATTCACGATTCCTTTGGGACTATGACTTCAATTTAATGGACCATAAGATTGTAAGGTAATAAAACACTAAACAGAATGCATGTGCACGGCGAGACAAACCTGTAGCTCCGAGAAATCCATTGTGCCAGAGTGTGTGCTTCAGGAGAACCAGGTGGATGCTTTACACCAATCTGACAGCCCGGTCGAGAAGGTGCAATTGCCATAGCAACTCTCTGCACCGAGGCGACCACACTTCTCACATATTGCCGGGCCATTGCTGCCACATTATCTCGGAGGTGATTCTCATATGTGAACTGGAAGGCGATTGTGAGGACCGATCGCAGGTTGTATGTACTCGAAGCAGTCTCATTAACTGAGCGTGCAGTGGCACCAGATCCAATCTCTAGCATGGATGCCAAATCAAGTGTTCGTGTGGTGGCGGGAGAATCCTGCAGCATTATTGAACAAACTTAAGTTACAAATCAGAGAAGTCATTAACTAGTGAAATCAGAAGAGTCATTTAAGTAAATAGTCATAGGAACACACAAAATACAATTAGTTCTTCCTGGAGGTGTGATGCCACAAGAATCAAATGTTGTTATTTTCTAGAAGACACATTAGTGTGAAGATACCCAACTGTTTTAGGGTCCAGCGGTATAACGCGAAAACCTGACGGTAGCAAAGGTAGATCATCATCAAAAGATTCATCAATAGGTGCAAAAACAAGCTGAGCACAGGCACCAACAGCGCTTTCATCAACTCCACTGCAAAGCTGTCATCATAAAGAGAAGGAAAAGAATCATTCAGCAAAAACATACAAAATTTATCGATAGCGACATAATGCAACTTCTAGAAGACAAACCTGCAACATGTACATATCCCTTGACAAAATGACATCATCTTGGTTAAAACCATGACCCTCAAGCCTGATCACCTCCAAGAACTACAGTTAGGGAAATTAACATGTTACCTTATCAGAAGCAAACACCAATGAGAAGTGCAAGATGATGTTCTTACTACTTAAAATACCTCTTCATGTTCTGCAGTATGTGCAAGAGGAAGTATCACCTGACTACCCGAGAACCCGGTGCTAGCCCTAACACCAGGAACTGCATATGGGTTAGCTCTCAATGATGCAGCAGAATAAGCATCAACACCACAATCTGCCCATTCCGAACGATGCTCCCTCAAAAAGCGAACCAATATAGCAGGTGGCACATTCTACACAAATGCGTATGGGTTAAAATTATATTCCGAACAAGAAAGCACGTATTACAGAAGACAGCCCTGCAGGGAGAGGGAATGCCCTCAAATCAAGGGTGAAGGTCAGACCTGCAGCAACATTGATGCTTTTGCACATAAAATGCCACCTCCAAGGGTTGAATACAATGCTGAAGGGTTTGCATGAGAACCAAGAAGTTTGTTTGGAGATGAATTTATAGCAATCGTCACATCCTCAACACCATCGCTACCCAGCAAAGACCAACCATCATCAGAAAATCCATTCACTGCATCGTTGAAACCTCTGCAACACGCCCAGAAGATTTAGAGTTCATAGCTAAAGAAGCTATTATCGGGAAAAAAAGTGCTCAAGTAAAACATCACAACTAAGCCAATGACCTGCTCAATCTCTGACTGAATGCCCTTAAGACAGCAGGTTGTCGACCACCACCATATGGAACTTCACCACTGATCTCTTGAGCAATTTGTGTCAGGTATCGAAGTGCCTGGAAAATATGAAAGTGAGACTGGTGGTATATGACGAGTGAAATGCTTGATAAATAACCAATAAGGCTTACAGCAATTGTTGTTTTCTGCGCCAGAATTTTTGGTGATTCATACAAGGGTCTAAGAACCTCTGGTACACTCCATGGCTGGTGCATCAAAGGTATACTCAGCATAATATGGCAATAAACATCAATAACAGTAGAAAGGACATGAAACTCACATCTAGATCAACATGATCAACGATGTGAATCATTGAACCACCCCCTTCACACGGTCGAATTAGATAGCCACTGGGAAGCATTTCAGCTCTAACGAAATTTGGTGCAGGTGGCCCAGCAGGACCACCGGTCGCAGGAGTCAATGACCTTTCACAGATCTAGTAGAAGTCCATGTTAAAGAGTTCTCCATGATTTGAAAGAAGCAAAATATGAAATAATGATCCTAGAATGTTTTGCCGCAGACTTGAAAAACTACTGAAGCATCAAAAGACGCAGAGCACATACCACAAGACTGCCATCTTCCAGAGCTGTAGTATACCTCAGCGTCCAAAAGTCTCGTGCCACTGCCAAAGTAGTAGGTGCGTATGTCTGATGCAAGAGATAAGAAGGAAAAGTCAACTTCAAGAAAGGAGGAAAAAGATCAACAACCATTTCAAACTTCAGACAGTGTACTAACAAGATAAGAACAAACCTGCATATATATAAGTTCAATATTCCCTCCATTACCAGCAGGAATAACAGTAAGCACATCGAGGCAACGGCAATCACGATACCAAGATGGACGATCTTTGAGAATCTCTGCAACCTAAGAAACCCAACAAACCATGAATTGTATAAAAAGGAAAGAAAATAGCAAGAACAAGAATTCAAAAACCAATTACTCACCTTTGTGGGTTCTAGACTCACAAGGCCACAGGCTCGAGCTGCTACCCCACTACAATTGTGGGAAACAGCAATGATTCCAATAGAATCCGGACCAGGCTATAGTGAATAATGAGAAATTAGTTTGCAAAATGTAATCCAAAAATAATAATCGGCACTAGTGAAAAGCAACTAGACAGGATGTCCAATGAAATATCACCTTCATCCCAACCATCTGAACCCAATCGACAGCAGTTCCAGTAGCCTTTGATAGGAACTCTGCCAAGGTCTCCTCAGCAATTGCAAGAAGACTATAACAGATATGTCCAAAAAAGAAGAACAATGTGTTGGAAGAAGACAAATGACGAAACAATCTAAACCAGAGCCGCCAAAACCAGAAAGTTTGATTACCCAGCTGGGTTAGCATCCCTCTGTGGATGCTGAGGCGTTGGGTTTTGTTGATGATGGTGCTGACCACTTGTAACTACAGACTCACAGCTGGTGTCGGTGGTTGCTACAGATGGCTGCATATTGATTAACAAAAATGTAAGATTAAAAGAACATAATTTAGTATGAAACAAACTGTGATACTGAGTTGAACATGGAACAAACATCACAACCTCAGCTTCTATAACAATCCACACAAGAGCAAAGAGTTTAGAATGAATCGTGCAGAAACAAACATTGGTATGTGTGTGTGAGTCTGAGTTGAACATGGAACAAGAAGCAAAAAGCCATCTTCATAACACTAAACTCAAATGCAAAGAGATCAGACTGAAATATGCAAACACAAGCATATTTCATTGGTTTGCACAGGTTCAATCAAGCATCAGATGTCATTACAAACACAAAGTTCGAAGTTCAAGATGTTTGTTCAATAAAACCTTGGGACAGGAGGGAAGTCTTCCAACACTGGAAAACAGGAATACAGAAAAACACAGAAATGTGCACTGATCATATACTAAGTATATTATCAATGTTGACAATTACAAAAAAAGGAACAAGCGAAACATGCAAACTCACATTATGCAGTTGCTGACGCATGTAGCCATTCTCGTAAACAAGATGAGACACCTGTTTCTGCAGCCGATCGTTTTCCTCCATCAACAACTTGTTCATGGCAGTGAGCTTGCGGTTCACTGTTTGGAGACGAGAGGCTTCTTTCCTTTGCTTCTCCCGGCACCTACAGAGAAGTGAGAAAGTAAATGTCAAAGATTAAAACCCAGATAAAGTCTAACACTTTATTTTTCTCGCTAAATCCGATTCAAGATGGCATTCTGTATATCATTTTGTGAGCTAGATTCTAAGCCACTCGAAACACTATGAGAGAAAGGGATCAAAATACCAAGAGTCTAATCCCTTATGAATGTGGTGCAGCTTTTGAAAATATTTGTCATTTGTAGGTGTTCTTGCGGTCTTGATAAAATTATAAGCACAGGGCTTTTTGGATTACTTGGCACCTAAAGAACTTGTACAATGATTCATACCCGATTCGCATACAGCTTCAAGAACCAAAAGGTCACCCCCAGTGCTCAATAGCCTTTGTTTTGACAGGCAATAATCACTATGCACTACTATAGACTCCCTACCCAAACAAAAATCATTGTAATCTACCAAATTGAAACTTTGGGAAGCAAGATAGGAATTTTTGGCTCTGAAATAAACAATAAAAACTGCCGACTTCTAAAACCAAATAAGCCTGTTTTCTCCAAGATCATCATCGCAAAATCCACATAGTGATAGAACAGAACCAGATCCTGAAAACCATAACCAAAGCCGAGCTATCGGAATGGAAATAAAAATCATTAGGCAACCGGACTTCAAAATCCTCAGGATCTTACCAAGGAATGGCAGCATTAGCGGGAAAAAAAAATGCAATTTTGAATCAGAAACTCATAGGAAAAATACAAGCAATAAGAAGCAGCATAGCAATAACACTTTGCAAAATGCACAATGCTTATAGGATTCATCAAAAAACAAACAAACAAACAAACAAACGAAGCTGCAATTGTGTCTGCTAAAATCCCGCAGAAAGGTAATGGTTCTGTAGTACGTTGCTTTTTGATGGGATTGACGTGTTTATAACGCCTGTCTCATTGAGGAACTAAAGGCGCTTTAATATGGTTATATAGGTCTAAGCTCAAGAACCAAGCAAGAAAGGTTTCTTCAAGCTACGTTCCCACCAGTGACTCGAAGTATCCCATTACTTCTCTGACTCCTACACTATGGAAGAGAAGAAGATGTAATGATCAAAGAATCAATCTTTTTTCTTCGCAGACGGTTCCAGCCTTCCATTAACTCCTCGTGGTTTATGGATCCATTACCTTCTGTTCTGGAACCAGACCTTGATCTGCTTCGGCTCGATGTTGGAGAGGATGGGGCACTCCCGTATGAGTTGCTGTCGCTTCAGGGAGCTGGGCTTGGGGCACTCGTTGTAGACCCTCTCGAGCGCCTCCACCTGCTCCGGAGTATACCGCACGTACTTCCCCGCCTCCATCGCCGCCGCCTGCTGCTGGCCCTTCCCCGCCTCCTTACCGCTCACTACCATCGCCATCTCGCCCCCTCCAAGCATACCGCTAAAAATCCAACCTTTCCCCACCCAACGCACTTACCACCCTCACAAACCTCCCACCACCTCCTTCTTCCGGCTCCTCGGCAGCAGGAGCGCGCATCACCGCGCCTCAGAAACTCTCGTCCGCCGCCGCCGAGGGGAACCCCATCCTCCTCCGCTCCTCCGAGGCGGCCATTGCTCTACAAAGAAGAGGCGACGGAGAAGCAGCAGAAAGCAAAAAGGCGTCGTCTTGCTCGGGAGGTTGTGCGAGATTTGCTTCGCCTACGCTCTGTTTTTGGCCTTTTATTGCCGATGGGGTGGGGTGGCCTTTGCTGTGGTGCGTCGCGCTGTGGATGCTTTAAAGTGGGCCGAGAGCGGCGATGTGTCCTTTGATGCCTTCTTCTCTCTCCTCTTCCTTCTTTCTAGTTTAATGAAGTGTGAGGTTTTCTATTCTTTTGAAGAAAATGTTTTGGGTGCAGAGGAATTGTTTATGGTCGGCCTGCTGCTACGACTGCAGCTGCAGCTGCAGCTGTCTCTGTCTCTGAGAGAGAGAGAGAGAGAGAGAGAGAGAGAGGGAGAGAGACAATATGTTGCGATGGATGCTGGCATGAGGCATGTTATGATGCGCATAGCATGCGTGATGGAAGGTATTCCTTCTTCATGTTAGCTCCCTATTGTAGATTTAGATTTACCTTTCTGTACACTCGATTCTCTGTGTGATTGAATCTACCAAAGTGAAATAGGACTTACGATCGTATAAATATAGGATCAAATGGATTTACTAAGCCATACATATCAGCGCATACTAAGCTCATATTAGCATATATTCTATATCATTTTCATGTCATGGATAAGGCTAAGAATAATTGTCATTTATATTAGCACTTATTTTCACATCATCTTCTTGTCAGAAATAAGATCAGCTTACCATAGGCGATGGGAATCAAAGCCATTACTCCTAACAAAGCCCTAATACTTTGAGCTGCAGGAACATAAAGAAGGGCTATATATATATATATATATATATATATATAT